GGTCCCAGTGGCTTTTAATGGTCTACGCACCAGCTCGCCTTGTAACCAGAAGGTTCTGAGTTCGACCCGTGGTGGTGGGTGCGTACTGACGAAGGGTCCCAAAATAGGCTGGCGAAACACCTGTGTAGTACTCCCAATGGTTCTCTGACCGATGTCAGCTCATGATGAAATCCTGTAACCAATCAATCAAATCCCTACAACCCAATAACTTGATTATCTGTAACTTGTTGGAAACCCTTTTTGTGACATGCTGGCCAAGTTCCTGACACATATAGAAGAAGAACTGACTGACTTGACATTTGTGTTGGAAATCCGAATCTTGCTATTTATACTGGCTGAGTGCAGAAGATTTCCAAACTGGTTTCAGGTTGATAGAGGCGTACCTCGCCTTTCCGATTTTCGTCTGCCTTGACATCTTCCTCCGTGCCATCCTCCTGTGGTTGAAAATGTGCTTCCTGGTCAGATAAGTGAAGGAATTAACCTCTGTCGAATCTCTTCCGTTGATAATGATTGGTGAATGAATGATAAAACGAAAATATATTAAAAGTTTTAATATTTTTCACACCAACTGTTTTGTTGGATAGAAACGGCTCACGTTTGTTAATTCACGAGTTTGCATCAACTGCTAAAAGCCTAAAAATGAAACAAGTTATCATAAATGCAGAAATATGCAACACGCTTCAAAACTTATTTCACCTCAGAGGGCACAGTTGTGGAAAAAGAAATATGGATACATGATAGTTAATAATCTAACAACCAGACTTTATTCATACATTAAATGATGGAATGTTTGAGCGGAGAGAGCTTCAGTGAAAAGAAATGATAACTAAATATAAACGTATACAAACAATTAATTTAATCGTAAGATTAATGAGTTCAACCCAGTGTGTTATGGCCAAAATATCTGTGATACAACAAAAGCATGATCACAGAACAGAGACATCTAGTTACTAGGGTAGTGGGAGATTCATCGTTTGATAGCAATGACTTCTGCAAAGCGAAGCAGCTACGGTTTCCTCTGTATAGCGATTATCTCGAAAGATTGACTGATTTTGACCGTATGCCTCATGTTAACCAGGTGCTTGACCATTTCATTCGCAAACACTTTCTTACTTTTCATATGAAGATTGTTAAGGATATGCTATTAGATGCTCTCTTCTCAGTTCTTCTTGTGTACTTAGTAACGAAAACAGGTTCTTCCTCACCTTGTTCAAACTAGTCAGGAGAGCTGACAGTGTGGAATTTATTATTAGTATTATTATCGGTGTAATTGGCTAGAAGGAAGTCTTGTTTATTAATTATTAGGTGTTTCATCTTTCTCTGTCATCAGGGAGTACGCCGAATCTACATCAACAAGTCTGTTCGTTGTATGCTACAACAAATTCGAAGCTTCACAGTTGTTAGTGTAAAATCTTTTTTCTTTTCATTACAATTTTCGAGTAGTTATTGTGTTTAAATTAGCAACTCTTATTCTGCAATCTTTGAATCGAGAACAGTTTACTTGTATGGAGTTTCTTTCCTGGATGCAGCCTAGAAGTGTGCCTAAACCTACATACACCAATTAGAAAAACAATAGTGTTGAAACCAACTGTTGTGTTGTAACACTAATGAAAACAACCTTTCATTTCTAAACAAGACGAATTAATATTTACACTACACAACCTGACTTCAATTTGAAAGATGCTAAAACTGTTATTTTTGTGTATTATTGTTGACAAATTAAAAAAAAAAATTAAACAGAGTTCATATTATAATTTGTCCTGAATGATAGTGACTTCGACAAAGTTTCAACAATCGATAATGAATTCTATGCATTACATGTTCAAAAATGCAGTTGGTAAATGACTGTCTGGTTTCAACATAGAACTTTGCACCGATGTGCAGCAGTTCAAGTCGCTACACTTCACTTAGCACACAAGGCAAGAAAAGAAAGTAAAAAGAAGTACAAAATAGAGACCGCAGACACAGATATGAGGCAAAAAGAATAATAATATCAAAACACCATATAGTTTTATTGGATATTAGAAGTCACGAGGAGTGAATGCATCTGCACCATTGAAAACGAGTTTCAGCCATATCACCAATTGTCTCCAGCCCTAGGCTTTTACTGTCTCCAACCTGGAAGTCTACACGTTCCTACATGGATGGCTTGAACTAATTGATGTGGATTTCATTGACTGGTATCATGTTTGGGTTTGACCGCCGCCAGCTGTTTTCCAGCCTGACCCTATGTCAGCTAACATTGAAAGTCCAGGAAGCGATGGCTAGGCCTACGTAACACATGTCCAAACCATCTCAGTCGATGTCATTTCACAGCCTCGTCGATTGATTTCACCTCTTTACCTAGCACTCGACCGAGGCCTAACCTCAATATTGCTCACCCTATTATACCACTTCACACGGAAGATAGAATGCAGACACCTATTATCAAAGACTGCTACCCACCCTTTTCATGTCTTCTACTCTCAATGGCCATGTCTCGCTCACAGCCATAAAGGAAGAGGGGGTGAACTGACTGCTGAGCAATACACCCACCCTTTGATCGATGGACACACGGATATCATGTCTACGCCAGAGACGGAGTAAACTGGCATATGCGAAACGAGCCTTCTGTGTCCATGCTAGATTTCGTCAGCGATCAACCCTCTGGCGTTGGCTGATGCAACTTCCCAAATAAGTGAAGTGTTAAACACGCTCTACCACTCTACTCCTTATAATTAAACTGGGAGTCGATGTGGCACAGTGGTTAGGACTCTCGCCGAGCATGCACAAGGTCCGGGGTTCGAGCCCTCACCGACCCACACCTGATATCTATGGTTGGCCTACGAAATTTGGGCTACCGATATCCACGCTGAAAATTCCATACTTGTACCAAAAATACGGTGTGGAATCAAGCTGTAATCAAAAATAAAATAAAAAAATAAAAATGTGGTCCAGTCCTGTAATATCATCATCTTAAATTTGACGGGAGTGAATCACGTTCCAAACGTTCAAAGATTGCTGCTCCTCAGGGTGTTTAGAAGATCCTACTCTATTTCGTCAGCATCTTCACCCAGAAGGACTATATAGTCTGTTTGTTTTAAGTCAACGAGATTATTCTCTGATAACAAGCCAATCCTTGATTTACTAAAGTCAGTTGTGGTTGAGTCCATTAGCACATACTTCTATTATTAAATGAAACAGAAATGGAGACATTGGTTAGCGTCCCTGACGGACACCACTGGCTGTCATCACCCCAGATAATAACTCTCAGTAGACTTTCACCTGGCTGACTGCATGAGTTCGAGTAGAGTGCCTTGATCAGTGTGATGTATTTTCTCGGCATTCACTTCACAGCCAAACATCGCCATAGTGCCCCTCGGTCGACGGAATCAAGTGTCAATTTCAGGTCAAGAAATATAACGATTATTGGACGCTGGTGAGTAAGCCTATATTCCAGAATCTGTCGAATGGTGGAGATATGATCTTTACACCCTCTTCCTGATTTAAAGCCTTCCTGCAGTAAAATTAATCGACTCAAAATAAATAATTGAAAATCAGTAAGACTTTCCCTATCAAAACTCTTTTTACCACTGTAATCGAATTCTTTTATTGTCTGCTTTATAATTCTTGAGTATGTCTGTATATATACATAAAACAACGCAATTGGAGGGAATATATCACTATTTCCTTTTTCTATCCTCTGGTTCATTACTCTCAATCAGATCCAAAAACAAATGGGTCACAAATGTAGACAAGAGGTCAGACTGGAAAATTTTATCCAATCAGAAATAAATAAAGTATATATTCACTCTTTCCATTTCATCAGTTGAAATCTTTGTTAGACTTTGTCTTTGTCATATCGTATCACAATCGGCAATGAATGAATAAACGCGTTGTTGTCATGGTGTAATCACTAAGGCTATGTGCATAAATTATATATCTTCATGTATGTATTGTGTGTGTATGTTGTGATCTGTGGACCCATATCCAATACAGAGAAAAAAGCAGAGACAATACAATAAGCCTATCAATTTTATCAGCCTTCTTTTACTGTTTTAGATGTGGTTTCATAGCAGAGAATACTCTCACTGTCTACGCTAGTAATATTCGTCTTATAATTTAGGTATACAGACATACTTGTGTTAAAGAATCTACATCTTAAATGGGGCAAACAGAATTTTGTAATTAAGATACATAATGAGATACGCATGCTTTTTACTTAAACGAAATGCAACTACTACTAAACAACATGCGTTGATTCACACTAAATCAAGTATGTGATACAATCTGATTGAACTAAAATCTGGACAGATTTCAATAACATAGCAACATACAATTTTTTTCTGTCGGGGCTGATACTGGCGGTAGGCTATTCATCATCACAACCAATAGGTCAGAATATTAAAACTTGTCCAATTTCTAGTTTATTAATAAAGACATACACTACAGCCTAGGTTGTATTCGCCCATATTCATATACTTGATGAATACATTTTTAACATGCAGGTTATTTGTCAGGTAATACCACTTTTATTGATTGACTTAACAATACACTATATTTGGGGTGTCACATATCCTCCCTCCCATGTACAGTGAACCCTTAAGTTATCAAAACAAAAGCAGAGACAAGGTAGTAGTAACAACAACAATTCCGGCTTTTATATATATATATATGCCAGTCTTAGTTCGTGATATTTGTAATCTGATTTGGCGAAAAGTTCAGGCGACAAAGGCTTCAATAATAAGTCGGTAGTGTGGCTTTAGTGGATCAGGGAGGGCGTTTGTCTAACTCGTGGAAACCCAATACACACAAATGAATGATAATTTATAGTATCCTGAAACTGCATATATTCCCCATAGCTTATAACACTGAAATGTACGAAAATCAGGATCTATTGGGTAGAAAGTAAATTTAAGAAATTTACACTATCTAATTGTTGAGTGACTAACAATCACACTCATAAATTTATGTTCTTCACATCTCCTATGTAATTATTTTCTCTTTGATCTCTCATAAAGGAACCGTGGAATCTGATTCCGCACAAATGCTTCAACGAGCTGTAACAAGTGTTCATGTCTGTTGGCACAGATGTTTCACGCTTTCAATGCAAGATATACTACGAGCTAATGAAGTAAGTAGTTCAACTGTTTCGTCTAATTTAATCTTTTAGTACCAGTTGAGTGATTTTAGTAGACCAGAAATATTCTGTCTTTGTTGGCAAATGAGCTTCGAGTACGGATGCTTCAACGATTTTTGAGGATTAACATGTTATTACTTGGTGAAATCCAGGATGTGCATACCACTGTATTTGGGATTCGTCATATGGATGTACCTGAATCCTCAGTAGGTAATGGTGTTCCTGCTGGGACTGGAACCAAGCGCCCATTGTTTGAAACGCCAAAGTACTACCCATCAGGTCACTTGAGTCAAGTTTTCTGGATTTCACTCTCAGGGGAAACACCATCACTCATCGGAACTGGAGATATGTTCAGTTGAGGAGTCCAAAATAGGAAGAGATAAGTACTCTCGATTACAGTGCTCGTCACTATCCACCAAATGATTTAACTTTTATTCAAACATATTTTATCAAACCACTATCCTCATGAACATATATATAAGCCTGTATAGCATACTGAGTGCGTCGGTGGCACAGCGGTTAGGACGCTCGCCGACCATGCACATGATCCGGAGTTCGATCCCCGGCCGACTCACTCCTTTACTTCGCTAAGCCAAAAATAATCCTGGTAAAGAGGAAAGGTTGGGCATGAGGCTAGAAACCCCATCCTATAAAAATCAAACACTACTACAGAAACTTCAAGCCACTAGTTTGAAGCCCTATGTTCCACTGGGAATGTGAAGAAAAAAAGTAGCATAGTGAATGAAAAACAATCTTTCTTTTGAACAAGGGATAAAAGGGGTATTCAGTCCATCTAAATTGCACTCAACATGTGAAATAGAGATGGGATTGCCAATTACACATAAATTATTGCCTCCACTGGTTAGATAAAACACCAGTCACTATCAGCTTAGTACTAATGGTTCGAAATAGACCATCTATCTACTCTCATTTATACATTCCTCGATGCATACATTTTTTTAAGAGAACTACTACTTTTAGACTACCTGATTTGAATAAATACACAATTGCATTTGATCTTCATTTTAACGTCACCTTAACACTTAATAAACTAAATATGATGTTTGCTTTTTTCTTTAATTTTAGTTCCAGACAAGTGGATATTTACTCAGAAAATTTAAAAATAGTAATGGTTGGCAACGTCTATGGGTTGTTTTTACTCAGCTATGTTTATTCTTTTATAAAAGTTATCGTGATGAATGTCCGTTGGCCAGTTTACCACTTCTAGGCTATACTATTAGTCGACCAGCAGTAGACGATCAAATACGACGTGATAATGTATTAAAAATGCAATTCAAAAATCATGTCTACTTTTTTCGCGGAGAAACACGTCATTCATTTGAAAGGTAAGCGCGCTTAGTTTATTACTCAGAAATCTAAGTTAAAACAATGATAATTTAATTGACAGATGCTTTTTGCTATCTGAAAATGTCACAGATGAGAATTGTCTATGTTGTATCCTGGTTACTTAAGTCGAATACACAGTACAACTACACTAGATGATTGGTAGTTAATTAGGTTCACTATATGATTCCTTTCACCTAGATCTGGGTTCTTCATATTATTTGATCTGTATACTTCCTCCAGAAGCTGATTACTACATTATGCTTTGCATTGTTTTCCTTCACGTTCCCCAGTGGAACATAGGGCTTCAAGTTTCTGTAGCAGTGTTTATTTTACATGATGGGGTTGCTAGCCACATGCCCAACCTTTCCTATTTACCAGAATTATTTCTGGCTTAGCAAGGTAAAGGAGTGAGTCGGCCGGGGATCGAACCCCGGACCATGTGCATGGTCGGCGAGCGTCCTAACCGCTATGCCACCGACACATACTTTGTATTTATGTATATATATTCCAACTACACATTTGGTAGTGATACAAATGAATAATAAAAGCGTATGCAGACTAGTATGAAAAAAAGCTAGTTTTATACAATACAGCTACTTTGAAACCGCATCAATTGAAACGCTTCGATTTCTAAATAGTCTACTAATGTAATGCATAGTAAGGATGACTTGGAGTATTATATTATATTATTCACTTAAAGCATAAGTACGTGAAATCTCAGATGATTCCGGTAAACTATAAGTGATATCAGCTGAAGTTCGTATGTACTACACTGCAGCAGAGTAAAGGTTCATCAACACTATATAAAGAAACGCTGGATGTATGAACGAACTACATTGAGATAATTCGTTTGTTTCATATACCGTATTGAATAGTGACCATCAGTACAGACAATCAGCTTAAATGAACAACTACACGAAATACTGAGATACGACTATTCAGTCAATACTGTTTCAGTAGAAACTTGGATCTTTTACTAAACACTGTGATATTACAGATATTTTCATTTCACTCTGGAAATGAATTAATTGATATTGATGGAGGAATATACTGATATTTCCATAAGTTAACTGAATAAAAGTCTATTCAAACACGTAGATAGATAGATATTAGACATTATACAACAGGGGACCTTTTTCAATGATATCATTTATCCGTGCAGTAAATTCTGGATAAAAATTGATCTTAAAAGATATCTCTCTTCTATAATGTATAATCGTTATTTAATTTCTCTTTCCCTTCACAGATGGGTTGAATACTTGAGCTGTGCAGCTGGTGCTAGCAGACCGTCTAATACAACATCAGCTACTTAAATGAGATTGTTAATAAATCTATCGATCGAACACAATATTTGTTTAAACTGGAAAGACATGGAGGAGGCCAATTAGCTTTTTTTTAAAAACACACTATAGTTCAATCAAATCATCATGTACAGCTATATGATAATTATCTGTGGAATTATTTTTTACAAATCATACATCTGATCTTATTTATAATAAAAATTTAAAGATGAACACAAAATATGATCAAAATGTATTTTCTTGCATATATTAGCATTAATTAATTAATTCGAAGGGATGAAGAGTAGTCTAATAGTAGTGGAAGGTTGCAGCAGCATTAACTACTATTTAATTTGAAAGTTGTTTCTCATGAGAAATCAAGTGGTACATTTAAAAGAAAGAAAAAGCTTTGCGCGTATTTATGGAAAATGACAGCAATGAAATTCAGGTGAAGTTTTTGTTTGTTTGTTTCACACACACACACATACAGGGTTATTTCACTCTAATATCTAAATAAGTGTAGTTGAAAAATCCTAAACACAGACGGTATAAAATAGCAGAATGAAACCCTAAGGAGTTCGATACAGAAACTGCCACTCACCCCCACCCACAACAGAGAGAACCAGTAATTATGACATTTTAACGGAAAGATAGTGATGCATAATTGCAAGGATAAAACATCTGAAGTGTATTTAATAGGATAATTATTATTTAAGTGTATGTATCCTTACGACTATGCGTCCATTTATACTTCCACTAAAATGTTAATAGTAATTACCGATTCTTTGAGGAGAGTTTTCTTCTGTGTTGAACAACTTAAGGCTGAATTTATATTTGTAAATAGAGACGTGATAATTAATAAAATCAAAAGGGTTGAAAAGTAATAAACAAAAATGCACTCACTCTATTAATGGTTGTTCTTTTTTCAGGATATGAAAAGAAATAAAAATAAAAATACAGCAAAATGCAATAAAATGTAAAGAATGAATAATACAGGAGGTGGTGATCATAGTTTCATATAGTTTCGGGAATATCTTATCATTGGTGTCAATATATATTTTGATAAATGAAAGAAAGAGTGTAAGCACTTGTTGGGATGGGGGGAGGAGGAGCAGGAAAGCATTACTTTGACACACTAATCCTGAGGATAGTTGTCTTAATGGATAGGAGGAATATCATATTATAACAGATAAATATTATATTATATTATGTATGTATGTAGGGGATAGTCTCTTGAAATTCTCATTGTTTAATCTTTTGAGTAATCATCTGTAAGATAGAAAGAAAGAAAGAAAAATAAAAAATAAAAACCTAGATGAACAAAGTGCATACGAATAAGTAGCAGACAGACAACTGCCTTAACTTCTTCACAATGATTTTCCTCATACTAAAGTAACACGCCAACAAATCATAGGCTTCTCTCTGCTCCTCACTTTATATAGCTGGGGCACATAGAAGTAATCATTGCTTTAAACCTTCAAAGAGAGACTTTTTTGAACTCCTAATAAAGATTAAAACACCTAAATGGTATATTGTTAGTCTTCCAGCAAGAGGCTTATTTTCTAGCACATTAATCTGTAAGTAGTGTATTCCTGATGTAGTGCAATTACTTTATAGAGAATTTAGCAGCATCACAAAACCACTTTAACTTAATTATTCATAGAACACCGTCAAAAGTCCCCTGCAATATAACAAACACGAATAACTATGCGTAAGAATCGCTTATATCTTCGTACGTGACTACACTAGGAAGTAAAGATTTATACATCCCTATATCAAATAGATACGTCGATACTAAACATATTTCTCCCTAGTCATGTATAAAGGTTTTTAAAATACACTGCTATGAACTACGTACAAATGAGTCTACATGAATTACCTGCAGTGGCGAAAAGTGCTCGACAATCTAATAACGCTGCTAATTCTGTGATCAGCTTATGTAGTACACGACAATCCATTAATTCCGATCCCGGTAGAGAAGGAGAACACGAAGGATAAAAAGAAGGTCCATGAAACCCTCGATGAAGCTGAAGGACAATATTACAGAAACAATATCGTAATATTATTGTCCGCAGGAAGTCATCCGAAAGGAATTGTTGGTAGGAGTAATCTGAAGGTGGATAAAACAATTAAAACACACAATTAATCAATGATTTAGTGATCATATTGTTATGGTGGAAGACGAGAGACTTGGTAAAGAAATCCTTATTTTGGTATTTGCTTTCTCTATACAGCGAAATTATGTACACTTTATCTTCAACGCATCATTTGCTACTTCTAGCCTTCGTATTGTGTTTCTTTGTGCTCCTTTCACGTCTACCATGTATCTCTGTAACACGCGACACAATATGGACAGACACAAAACTAAGTTGCCCAGAATAATTACTCGTAGGTACCAATTTATGAACTGTACTTAGAGTTGGAATAAATGACTAAAAGATAATCAATGAATAACGTACTGCAGATTATGTATGTTACAAACAGCAATTATAAAGCCCAAAGTACACGAGTGAAATAATGATCGGAGTAAACACAAAAAATGAATTAGAACCTTAATGAAATTCAGTGATCACTTATAACTGATGTAAAGTGAGAACTTAATAGTTAAAGAGATTAACACGAGAGTATAATAGAAAAAAACAGTGTTAAATAAAAAGGACTAAATTGGAGATTGTTCAAATTAATGTTTCAATGGATTGTAGCCACAGTCTAATGTATAACTTGTGTTCAGTATTAATCAATACATTTTGGAAAAACAACAAATTGAGCGAAGAGATTTATTTCTTTTTAATTAGTTCCTCATAATCGACTATACATTAATATATATATATATATATATATATATATATATATATATATATATATATATATATATATATATATATATTGTGAGGCTGTTTGTTCACTATTGGGGATTATCAAACATAATATAAAAAAACACATACCTAAACTTCTGGAGCGTGTCAGAACTTGATAACATTCTGTTAGAAAAGAATCTATAATGCTTTGTGCTCGATCCCACACTTTCAGAGTTATTTTAGTCAAATTACATGTAAAACAGAATGCAGTTAGTGGACAATGCAAGAATAAGGTAAACAGATTGCCTCGATGTCGTTGACTTTCTAATTTCTCTGGGATAACTTCAGGTGAAAGAAGACATACGAATGGTTGACCAAATAGATTAGGAATATTCTGTAAAGAAATACACATACAACATTTAGATAAAGCAGTAGAAAAAAATAATAAAACTTAATTATTATCAGCGAATAAATTACGGGGAATTACAAACTAGATACTTAAGATTTCATTTTTGCAGCAGAACCAGGTCGCACGGAAGAATACACACATCAATTTGAATAGTTATTTGCATAAGCAGTTCCCCCGAAATAAGCCGATCTCTGTACTACCTATTGCATATGAGAACACTTTTCTCAGCGACTGTTATTCAGTAGTGTAAAACCACATTGTCAGTTGAAACTTCGCTTATAATTTATCTTACCAACTGCTTTTACGTGCTGATTTTGGAATAACCCAAGTAAATTTTATAGAAAAAGTTGAAACTGTTTAACAATTTTACTCATGACAACTATTCATCTTAGTGCCAAACGTAAGCAGTCTTTAACGTAAAGCTTATAGGCAATCTTTTAGTTTTCTTGGAATACGGGGCATACCAGTATTTTTACTTACAGCTGTTACCAATTGGTAGACAGTTGAAGTGAACATACCCAGAACGGCAAACTGTTTACTAGGAATACAATAAATTTCTCTGAATCTATAGGGACTAAAACAAAGTGTCACAAAAGACCAGCACAGGCCATCCGATGAAGTAAGCACATGTTTTTATAATCAAATAAGAGACTGATTACTACAAAAGATAACCAAATTTGACACTTGGTAAAGTAAATTCAAATGTATGAAGACTAATGTGCCCTCCACTAAATGACAGTAACACTCGTAAGATTTTGATATGATGGAGAAGATTTGTAGCTCAGGTGGATGATTTTGATGCTGTTGTGTTCTCTGAGTTGGATGGTTAATTTGCGAAGCTTTCATCACCCTACTCTAGGCGACATCTTCAGCACATACTTCAATTAGAAGTTTGGAAGGAACTACATTAATCAAGTCAGCGTTGATGATGCTAATTGGATAAACTAAGTCTTGGTACGTGCTGAGAGACTCGAGTTCGTACAACAATGGCCAGAAGTCGGTAACCTAGACCAAAATAAGCCATAGTTCTATTTCAGGTTTAACGAGACTCTACTGCAAACACATCAGAATCAAAATCTCCATTTCTATGACTTATGATTCAAAAGTAATTGGATTTTTCACGACGTTTTAACGCAAATACTAAAAGTGTTTGTACAGAAATTCTGAAGAGACGAATAGTCACCGCTAGCATATATGCTTGAAATTCATAAATAGACAGGTAAAAGAAATAGGAAAACGTACCCGGAAAGTCGAACTGTTGTCACTGTCAACTATGACAAACAAAGGTTTGCGTGTGTAAAGAAGGAGATCACCGGGATGAATGCTATTTAAGGAAGTAATAATAATAATAATAATAAATAACTGTATGCAATGAAGTCATTAAAAAATCCACTCAAGAAGACAACACTATATGCAAGACTTAATTCAGTTTAGAGTGACATATGCCATAAATGTCCAGTCCCTATTAAAGCGCCTAGGCAATATAAGCATAAACCAGCCAGGACTTTTCATCATCAGAACCTGCATTATTTGCTGTATCAACGAGATATTACGCTACCTATCAAAAAGTGAGAATACTTCATAGCAGTCTGGTGCGTGAAACACGTCCAAGAAAAGCAGAAGAGATGAAAAAGATTACAATAGTTCAACTAAATGACTTCATAGGATCATTGTTTAAGCCTGATAGATTAATAGTTTGAAGTAGGCAATGTCTGTCAACTGATAAGATTGCGAGTTTTCATTTACTGAGATGACCGGAAGGGCCAGGTAGTAATTTCAAAAAGCTGATTTAGAACCCACATGTCGAGTTTATTCTTAACAAATCG